CTTCGTGTTTACGCGTTCGTTTGGCAGTTTGCTCTCGTTGATTCCCGGCTCTGTTCCACCACAGTGTTGTAACGTTTGACGCTCGTCGCGATCGAGACCGACCGACGATTGATTTACGATTTGTGGACCTACTACTTTTGAAACGGTAAGTGTACGGTGTACGCCGATCACTCGATTCTCTAACATTGTTCGTAAAGATCATTTTGATATGAACGTCACATCACATCAATTCAGAACGAGCTTCAGTTGCGTAAGATTTGTTGGTAATCGCTTTCGCTTCAGCGGAATTTTTCCATAACGTTGAGTTGTGTTTTGTTTAATTTAGGGGAATCCTCGAGCTTGTATTGTCGACTATACAAAACTATTGTATTGTCGACTATTGGAGAATGTTGTTTTGGCCCAGCTGAACTACTAGCTATACTAATTGCGTATGCGGCGTGACACACGCAATTTAAACGCTCTACTGTGCGCCAGACACCAGTAGCAAGGTGGCAGTGTTTTGCAATTAAAACAAATGATAATTATTTTTACAGCTCAATCCAACTTTACTTTATATTTTATGTCCTCGAAAGGTTATGTTTTAGAGTTCCTCAACTCAAAAGGAAAAAACCAGGACCCTTATAGGAACACTTTGTTGTTCGTGAATCTATCCGTCTGTTAAGACCCTTTTTCTCAGAAATTGATTGTTATCAATCAAGTTGATATCAAATCAAGTCTCGAGGCTAGAGGCTTTAAAACTTCAAAGCTTCTAAGGCAACGCAATTTAAGAATACGTGCATTTATGTTGTCTATTTTGCTTCAAACTTACTCATTAAAACGTTTAGTAGTATTTTCCTTTGACATACAATCATAAAATTAGTGAAAAACTAAATTCTCACAGTACAAGTAAGAAAATAATCTGAAAATCGTAAATTTGTAAAAAATAAATACTTACGATTTTTTGCGATTTGCAGCTGGGAGTATCCTATCGACCGTGATGTATTATAGACTGATGTATGGAATGATGTCTTTTTTCGCTGCAATGTAGTTTTACGTGGCAGAGCTAATATGCAGCTATATTATAGCTGTAGCATAAATAGATTGGCTCGACTGGGGAAGGATTACGCTCTTACAGAATACCTGCGTTAAATAATAGCTTAATGCTGCTGTGTTTCGTATGTTCAGAGTGTAGAGATCTGGAGACTTTTCACAGGGAACGAGGTATTCTATCTTAGTCCGCAGTGGTGACAACGCATCTGCATTTTGATTCTTAATCATGATAGATGTGGGATGTCTATGAACCACCGCTTCCACTTGTCATCAGGTGGATTGTGAGCTTGTTTGTCACCCTAATACTATTAAAAAAAGTTCAGTTTGTCCTTTCATCTCACTTTTTTGTTAGAAATCCCAATATAGGTACCTATAACTTGTAGGGTGGACCACAACCCTCAGGCCCAACCCCCAGCCACTTTCATCGAAAGCTTCCCCCCTTCGAATGCTTAACCCCAAGCCAAGAAAGATTTATCCACACTTCCATGCTCGACTGGGTGACAGCGTTCGTACGTTGATAGTAGAGCAGAGCAGAGAGATGCTCCCTGCTCTGCTCTACTATCAACGTGTAGGCGAGATTGGCATGTCGTTAAGTTATTACAGCTTTGGATTTATCCTCGAAGATTAACTTCTACATTTCGCCCATGATATATGTATTATATATATACGATTTACGATTTGTGGACCTACTTATATATATAGGAGAAAAAACTTACCTTTTACGTGATGTTTTCAATTTCATCCCAGGCAGTCCACACGATCAGTTCACACACTACACATCCTATGCACACAAACACATGACAATACTGTTATTTTAATATTTTATCAAAAATTTCCGACAAATTTTTTACAACGTACCATTTATCTGCCAATATGGGATGCCATTAGCCAAAGCCTTATAGTCTGACAATGGACTTTGGTCAAGTGCATGCTAAACCCCCGAAATTAACTCCATTTAAATCCAATCAACCTTATGTGTTGATTTTACTGCTATGCTAAATTTGAATCATCTACCCAAAATACTCAATATAAAACCTCCGAATACTATAGACACTACTCCATAGAACTTAATTATCAGGGTACGACAAATAATGTACCAAACACGTAATACAATGTACACGACGTCATTTCGTTGTTAAATCGTTGCCCAAGTTGGCTTGGTGTAGCGTCTAAGACACAAAGACAAATACACGAAAAACACAATGTTTGTATTTGTTTTTTTTTCTTCAAAAAAATGGCGTTAGCTAGGATTCGTACTAAGGAACCGCGACTAGAGAAAGACTGACATCATCAGTTTGTTGTAGAAAAGCATTTTAGTCTTTCCACGATGTTTTTTTTTTTAAATTTTAATTGAATTACAAAAAATAGTATTTTTAATGATATTCAGGGTAGTACAGTACAACTCTTTTATAAGGAGTCAGTATAACAAGTTCTAACAACAATTGAATAAATCAGCCTTCTTAATATTAATCATTCAATATTCATTTCAATATTAATTTCAATAATAGCAATACTATGTATATGAAAAATGTAAAGGAATTGTCAAATTTAATAAGCCCAGCAAAAGCCGGACTCCATCTAATTTGGTCGGACACGCAACCACAAAGCTTGACTGTGTCCGGCTTTATCCGGACGTCTGGCAACGCTAGACATTAGCCACTCACCATCAAGTGGACTGTAAGTTTGTGTTATCACTTCAGTTGTATATAAAGAGACGAATCGGTTGTTACGTCCGTAGTCACATATTTTTCTAGCAAGTACATGTAGTTTTATTAAATATATCTTTTGAACTAAAATCAGACTACAAAAATATTTCAGATATTAAAAAATCTTCGCCTAGAATTGAAGAATGGTTTAAATTCAACCTTCCAAGTATTTACGATGAGGCCAGGCAGAAATAAAATAGTCGCGTTAAAATCAACTTTTCTACACTTCAAATTGTTGTGATGAAAGCAGGGAAAGGGATTTCGCTCATTGGGCCTCGTGAGAATGAACGAAAGTAGATTAAGTAAAGGGCATACAGTAAACGTGAGTTGAGTTGTGAGTTGAGCTGAGGCAGCTTGAATTGATTGTGCACATATAAGAGTGAACTCTAAACTATTAAATGCATTCTTGACATAATTAAACAGTCACTTAAAATCAAAATTTTAAGAATTTTACTCGTATTATTAGTCCCTTTATTACTCTAAGTTCTTAATATATAAGCAAGTGTATAACCCGTGCTGATTTCGAAACCGTTTTAAGTTTGTTCATTTCTAAACCATACTATGCTTTTTAGAGTTCTTAATAATAAGGGATGGTATTTATTTTAACACTAATGCATGATATTAATTGAACCTTCTTTGACGTCTAAATGACGTCACATAGGAGACTGAATTAAGGTCAATATGTAATGGTTTAAAAATTAAAAACGATAATCTTTTCATGTTTAATATTTATATCAATCTACTCTATCACGTCACCAATTAGTAAAAGTTTAAAAAGTCATCATCAATTAACTTCCGTTTAGAAAACAAATATAATTTAAATTGGTCTTTCTATTATGCTCATATTTGAAGCAAAGATATAAAAATATCACCTTATAAATGTTTACATACAGAATTAGTGAAATGATGTGAATAAAAATATTTATGACATTAAAAGTTCAAACCTCATCTATTTTAAAAAGTTAATATATCAACATAATATTATGACTGAGATCGAAATTAAAATACCTTACTGCAAATTGTTGGCTCGTATACCCTGGACCTTATACTTCTGGAGCGGGCTCAGTTTGCATCGTCATTTGTCTGAAGATACATCTCTGGTCTCTGATTGTCGCATTGGTTAAGACCATTCGTAAGTTTGCATTCATTAAGTGCATGGTTTTTTCCACAAGCCAAGTTGACAGTCTACAGTCGCTAATAGAAAAATATAAAATAAATGAAATCAACGATAAGTCAGGAACGTTCAATTTCCGTTCATTTTATAGTTTTCCATTAGCATTAACAAATGTAGAAAGTAAACTTGTCTATCATATCATCAACCTACCAATCTCAGTCGAACCAATCTCATACTGCTGCTGCTGTAGTGGACGGAAGATTTTGAAATCAATGTGTTTTCGTTTTTATATTTTCTTGCGCGTTAACGTTTTGGACGATGTCTTGCATAGTTTTAGGCGATCGCTTATTACCTTTTGTCATAAATGAAAATGCACTAGAGAAAAGGTCTCATCGTCATACGTCAATTTTTAATAATAAAGACCTGAATCATTGTCGAAATGGTCCTTAGTAATAATACCCCTTTGATTGTCCAAACTATGGTAGAGGTAGACCGATTTTTATTGAAATAATTAGCGTGTAAAATGTAATACGATACTTGTTCATGGGGTACACCCAATAAAATTTAAATGCGAACCATTCAAATTTAATTTTTGTCACAAAATATATACTGCGATATCAAACCGGTCTTTACTCTTCGGCGATATTCTTGTTGGAGTCACTCAATCAATTTATCATTTTATCTTTTGAAAAATCAGTATGTCCATAATAGATGCCTCCGTGAATGAAATAAAATAACAGTAAGAACAAGCAAATTGTAATATTCAAAAATTTGCATATCACACAGGTTGCTGTAACCTAAACCAAACACTCATCTGGTCGGTAAATTAATTATAAATTGTAATTTGGAGAAACTAAAGTGAAATGAAAGCATTCATTTGAAATATAGATTACTATAAAATTTCAAAGCTTTTCTGGTCAGAAGTGGTCTTAATAAACTAAGGTCTTGCCCAGGGTATTGGACAGATATATTGTGGAGATATCTTACCTGTACCGTAATCTATTTAATATTCAATTCGAAAATAATAATCATTACATGTACATAATCAATAATGTACATAATAATAATAATAATAATTAAATTAAAAAAAATCGGTGTCTTAATAAATTAAGGTTTTGAGTGAACTTATTAAACAAGATGTACTGTTGCAGGATCTGACAGGACAAAACAGCAATGATTCGGGCGGCAGCGGAGGCGCGGGGCGCGCTTCGACGCCGCACCTGAGGCCCACACCCAGTCCCACCGGCTCCAGCGGTTCCCGCTCCATGTCACCAGCTGTCGGTGAGTTCATTCTTCATTGTCTGTAAGATAAAGAGACGTACGGCACCAATGCAAATTACTTTGGCGTTTTCAATCTTTAATTTAATGCGTGTTTTTTTGCTAACGATTTACCTATTGATTTACCACAAAAATATTTTTAACATTTCGTCACAATATATTTAAAAATAAATGATATACATTTCAATGCGAACACACATTACAAAACAATTTTAAGTGAATACATGAATACGAATGAACGTGGTAACATTAATTGCTGCAATTGAGACGGCGCAACGGTTTCAATGTTGAATGATTGTACGCAGCTGAAGGTTTGACAGATCTAAATGAGAGATGATAAACGTTTTCTTTTAGAGGCAAACACGCGGTGTATGCTTTGACGCAGCTTCGTGACTCTAATAGATATAATAGCGCCAGTGCACGATTAGTTTATGATAACATAACGATGCAAGCAAATTTGTCATTTTTGCACTCAAATCTGAATTATTTTATAAAGTGTTACTTTTGGACCCAAGTACGTACCTATTTGCGACAATGTTTGTATATGGATAATAAGGCCGTAGATTTTGCCACTTAGTAATTTACAGTAACATAAACACTTCTATGTTACAGTAACATAGAAGTAAACCTCTGCAGATCAAATAAAAAAAATACTAAGCGGATTTTTCGTTACTCTACACGATCAAAACTTTTAGAAAAAGGTTGATATTTTTGATAAGGTTGCTAGAGAAGAAGTAGCGCGAGTTTTTAAGGTTATAAATAGACATAACTCAACATCGAGCTGAATTTTAAACATAGTCAAATTACTACGCACTTAATTAATTAATCGTGCATTATATTATACAAGATGTGTACAATAAAAATTGATATTTACCTTTGAAATCGCCAAAATTAACTATTAAAATTCACTGACCAAACGTAGACGTGCACCTTTGTAAGACTATACAAAACAAGATGGCGTCTTCTTTTTTTTCTTGTGCTGCCTGAATACTTAGTGTTGCCAATGCAATTACAAAACATTACCAAACTGTTTTCAACTCTTTTTAAAGGAAAATTTTGGTAAGATACAAAATAGTAACATAGCTAAGTAAAAATATGAAACATAAGTTTAAATAGTATTAAATCTATAAAAAATGCGTTTTTAAAGACTTGAAAAGCACGATGTAATAGCTTAACATTGAGACATTTCAGATAGTCACAAATTAATTAAATGTTCATTGTAAAAATATTAAATTTATAGTGTAAGTAAAGTACAAAAAAGACATCATGTTTTTCGTTAAATTTGGGGGTCTGGACGAATTTAACTCGTATATTTTTACTCTACACTCTCACTTACATAATTTTAAGAATATGGTATAAAAGTTTAAGATATACAACCTAATTAAAATACCTTCATTACTATTTACCCGCTATGTTATTTTTTATAAGCAATCGAAATATGAAAGTTTTTTTGTTCAAAAAGTGGATAAATCTACGGCCTTACCCATATAACTCTAATAAGTAAGGGCGCGATACACTAGTATAGATTATAACTACATTGTTATTTTTATGTTATTGGAGAATTTTCTGTATTACTAATTGTGTGTGTTGCGTTTATATTATATTTATTAACTGTATAATGAAATATATACTTTGGTGGATCCTTTCGACTCTCCAACGCTTTACAAGTATCAAATAATTAAATGGAGCATGTCCGTCTGTGTGATGTGTTTGAATGTTTATTCGCCTTGATGTGACCGGAGCATGTTTCAGAGTTAATCATATTGCGCTGTATATATCATTGATACGTTCACGATGATTAATTGGCAACAAAGCTTTGCGGTTCTGTAGTGGCCAGGGCGTTGTTGCACTTTTTAGTCCGAACGCCATTGGGACGCCTTTGTTTCTTTGATCTTGATGAATAAACGCATTCATTTCAATTTCTATAGATTAGAGCAGAAGCGAGTGGGTCCGCCTTCCTTTATTCAATCGTTTATTGTTTTGTATGTACGTGTACAGTTCGGAAAACAGTAGTCTCTTCGAAAGGCTTGTTGATTATTTCATTGTGCATACTTCGTCACTGACAGACGCGGGCTTTCCCGACATTGACCCACATAGCGCGAGCGCCCAGAGTACACAGTATTTTGCCCCTTTTGCGGGCGCGAACCACCCCGTTCTCCCTCCTTATATACGAGTAAGGGGTGGTCGCGGTATATAGAGCCTCGTGAAAAACTTACCCCCTCTGAGGGGGGTGAGCACGCAAAACAGGACCCGCCACCCCCGAGTGTCGACGCGTCAGTCTTACGTGCCGGACCATCAATGCAATCCGCAACAACAATCTTTAACTACTTTAACCTACTCATTATTTTTCCAAAAGGCACTGTTTTATTACTTAAAAATATAGATTTTATGCTATTTTATTTGTTGACGGTTCCGTAGCGCAGTGGCATTTAGTAGCCGCGTTGCAGGGCCGCGGGTTCGTATCCCACACGAAACAAGGGCGTGTGTAACCTACAAATAATTGTTGTGTGTCTGAATGTGGGACCTTGAGCAATTTGAAATTGTATGTAAACCGGTAACGTTTTTATAAAAAATGCAAAATTAATAAGATCAATATGACGCATCTTTATTTATCTTTCTCATGTTAGGTTTCAATCTACAACATATATAAAAGCTTATATTATGAAAGGTAAAGCATGCAGCACATAATCATTTTGTCATAGAGAAAATAAATTTAATTACACATAAACCTATTTAAAAACAAGCTTGTTCGGACGGTGCCAAAGCCAGCATTCGGGTCCATCATCAGATCTACTTCGATGTTACTAAAGCTTGCGTTGTCATTGCAGTTAAATGTGTAGATATGCCAATAAAACTTCAGCTCGATCGAATGTGAGCAAGTACTTCAAAATTTATTACAAATTTTTAATTAGATTAACAGACCATGATAATCAGAAGCTTCTGAAAATGCGGCTTATACTTACCGACGAGAGAGAGAGAGAGAGAGAGAGAGAGAGAGAGAGAGAGAGCGATCAAGTCTCCATTTACAAAGTTATGCACAAGACTGTTGTAAAGACTTGATTGTTGCACTTGAACGTTAGTTATTGTCAGGTTAAAAGATATGGATTTTAAATTAGATTAGTCACGGTTTACTGCAGTTGCCAACCCGTTTGCCAAGCGTGGCAATATATGACCAACATCTATTTATTAATATTGATATTTGATAGACTAATGAATTAATGAAAATGTTCAATTCAGAAATTTACTCTACATTTTTACCCCATTTCTAAATACACAAATATTTTACCATTCCTACAAGTATTTCATATTTAATTAAGACTTGCTACGAATAGAATTCTGCGAGCTTTCTGGCCGAATAGCCGAAGATTAGGCGGGGAAGTAAGTAGTGTTTATTCAGATCATCTATTCTTTAAAACTGGGATTGTCTAAGAGAAGAAAAGGATTACATTACTGTCTATAAATGCAAAAAAAAATAGTCTTTATACACCACAATCTTTCACTTTAATTAAAATAATTCAAGAACATCACATTTATCTCATTTTTTTATTTGTATAATAAATAGTTGATTAAATGATTACAAGTAAAATACATTATAAATAAATAAAATAGTATATTTCATTTTACCAATCATCTGATTACAACAAAACCTCTTACATAGTATTCGGTATTCGGACGAATACGATAAAACTAGTTGATTATGCCGAATAGCGAATAATAGCCGAATATTACGTTGCAAGTCTTATATAAATTCAGCAGCAATCGTCCGGTATTTTCGATATCCGATATGACTTCCTGTTATTTAGCTCATTAAAAAAAGCTCAACAAATTAAATGCAAATTCTTCGACGTTCACAAATGTTGCAGAAAGTTCCGTGTATTGCTCATAGCCGCAACCAGGTGATAGTTACACGGACTTATTTGTGAGTCAACAGGCGAGCGAACCGTTGATCCGTTGACGACTGGCGGCTTTAATGATATAGCATTCAAATATGTGATGCGTGAATGACAATATAGCCCGAAAAGCGTTCAAGGATTCCCGTTCATGTTCCAAAATTCATCGTTGCATAAGCTGTTTTGATTTCATGTGGTAATAGTTTGCCGCTGTGTTTGAGTTCGGACCCAATAATATTTTCAATAAAGCGATATCACTACGCGCACGTTCACAGTGCGTAGCTTGTGACTTCATAGAAAATTGACGGTCTGACGCAAACTTTAGACTAGATGAGACTCAATAGCGCAGAAATGAAAGTGTTACAATGATATTCTTAAAAGCATCAACACCCCCTTCCTGTTCCGTACCACGAATTGGTTACAAACAGTTTGCTTTATTTTTGTAAAGCTTACAGTAACGGAGTTGAATAATTTATCAGTGTCTGTTTTTCTATCCAATTACAACGTGGATGTCCTTTGTATACAAGTCAAGCGAGAACACAGTCTACTTGATGATAAGTAGATGTTGATATGTATGCTATCCCCGTTTAAGAAAAAAATATTTTTACAAAATTGATGTGACAAACGAGCTTATATCGACACTTCGTCTAATTTCAAACTAAGTCGGCTACATATGTGTCGTCTCTTTCGAGGACCAATACAGTATGGATATCCGAAGGGTATATACAGCTCTATATACCCTTCGGAACTGAATATAGCAGTGCACTCACTGCTGTTTGGCGGAAAAACAAATTAGAGGGTAGTACGTACCCAAGAATGCAGAAGTCGATGGATGCAGGGGCTAGGATCTCTTTTGGCATTACTTGGGGAGGCCTATTAGCATACTTTAAGGCTTATGATGATGATGATGATGACGTACCCTGACGGATTCGGAGACGGAAAACGAGTCCCACCGTGAACAACTTTATTATTCATGCTGCTATTTTATACTGCTGTTTGAGTGCGTGGATTATGTTGCTGCTGCATAGCTTTATCCCGTATATATAAATTTTAGACAAAAGTGAATACTATCACTAATTACTAATAAGTGATATATGTATATGGTAGTCAAGC